GAGCCTAGAAACAAGCCCATGTACCTAGGGTCAATTAATCTACAGCAAAGGAGTCAAGAACATAATACAATGGAGAAGGATAGTCTCTTCAACTGTCTGGTGCTGCCCCAGTGAGTGGTGCTGGGAGCTGGACAGCTACACATAAAACAATAAATTTAGAACATTTCCTCACACCACACACAAAAATAAACTCAAAACACTTTAAAGACCTAAATACCAGACACGACACCATAAAATTTCCAGAAGAGGACATAGGCAAAACACTCGTTGACATAAATTGTAGCAATATTTTCTTAGCTCAGTCTCCCATGGCAAAAGAAACAAAAGCAAAAATAAACAAATAGGATCTAATTAAACTTAAAAGCTTTTGCACAGCAAAGGTGTGCAAAAGAAAACTATCAACAAAACAAAGAAAAACTTATGGAATGGGAAAAAATATTTGCAAATGATACGACTGAAAAGGGGTTAATATCCAAAATATACAAACAGCTCTTTTAACTCAATATCACAAAACAAACAATCCAATCAAAAAATGGGCAGAAGACTTGAATGGACATTTTTTCCAAAGAAGACATACACATGACTAATTGGCACATGAAAAGATGCTCAATATCGCTAATTATTAGAGAAACGCAAATCAAAACCACAATGAGGTATCACCTCACAACTGTCAGAATGGCCATCATCAAAAAGCCTACAGGGCTTCCCTGGTGGTGCAGTGGTTGAGAGTCCGCCTGCCAATGCAGGGGACACGGGTTCGTGTCCCGGTCCGGGAAGATCCCACATGCCGCGGAGCAGCTAGGCCCGTGAGCCATGGCCGCTGAGCCTGTGCGTCCAGAGCCTGTGCTCTGCAACGGGAGAGGCCACAACAGTGAGAGGCCCGCGTACCGCAAAAAAACACACACAAAAAAACAAACAAACAAACAGCCTACAAATAACAAATGTGGTGGAGGGTGTGAGAAAAAGGAACCCTCATATACTGTTGATGGGAATGTAAATTGGTGAGATCCCTTAAAATACTAAAAATAGAATTGCCATATGATCCAACAATTCCACTCCTCGGTATATATCTGGAAAAAACGAAAACACTAATTCGAAAAGATACATGCACCCCAATGTTCATAGCAGCACTATTTACCAAGACAAGCCAAGACAAAGAAGCCACCAAAGTGCCCATCAACAGATAAATGGATAAAGAGGATGTGGTACATATATACAATGGAATACTACTCAGCCATAAAAAAGAATGAAGTAATGCCATTTGCAGCAACATGGATGGACCTAGGGATTATCATACTAAGTGAAGTAAGTCAGAGAAAGACAAATGCTATATGGTATCACTCATCTGTGCAATCTAAAAAAGTAATATAAATGAATATATATGCAAAACAGAAACAGACTCACAGAATCACTATGCTGCATACCAGAAACAACACAATATTATAAAATCAATTGTACTTCAATAAAAGAAGTTATCAGTTATTCTTTACTGAGTACATAAGAGATACATTACAAAGAACAAAAAGAAAACTGAGGGAAAATGCAATGTGGACAAAAATGAAAGTAAACAAACAAAAATCCTCACTGCACAAGTTTAGTTTTGTCTTTAAATACTGCTACCTATGAAGTGCCTCAGAACTGTGCACTGAATCACATGTGCTGAATAAATGATCATACATTTTGAATATTATTTCAGTTTTTCCAAATATAACTCTATATATGTCAATTTTATACATATACATTCACATATAAAATAAATATATAGGGGCTTCCCTGGTGGCGCAGTGGTTGAGAATCTGCCTGCTAATGCAGGGGACACGGGTTCGAGCCCTGGTCTGGGAAGATACCACATGCCGCAGAGCAACTAGGCCCATGAGCCACAACTACTGAGCCTGCGCGTCCGGAGCCTGTGCTCCACAATGGGAGAGGCCACAGCAGTGAGAGGCCCGCGTACCGCAAAAAAATAAAAAATTTTTTTAAAAAAATCATCCCTGTTGGATCTGTGACTCACAGAATCCCTGAGGATAATAAATACGCCACTAAGTTTGGGGGTAATTTCTTATGCAGTCCTAATAACTGGAACAGGTTGGTTCTACAGAACTCTTCCTTATCACACAGCCTACTGCTTGCTATACAGGTGTACCAAAGTAAAAATAAAAACAAAATTTAGGCAAAAAATCCTCATAGGTTGGTGAAATCAATCCTTGTAGTACAGATACTATACATTTAAAAATGTTAATGGAAACAAGTTTTTGGTGAATTGATGATGAATTTAGGGCATGAGGGAGACAATTCCATAGGCTGGCTACAGTAAAAAGAATGGCTGTGTAAACAGAACTTGAAGCTGAAGCAACACTTATGGGCTTACCTCACTCCTATGTCCACAACAGAGAAAGAGAAAGAGAAAAAAAAACTCATGAAGTTGTATCAACTCCTTTAGTACCGCATTTTCTCTCAGGAAAATATAAAGGAAAAACTCTGATGAGATAAACACCAGATGGAAAAAAAGCAGGCTTTGGCAACAATGAATATTTGATCTGTGGTACAGAAATCTTTTAGGGAAAGCAATGCCTGCAACAGCTAAGACGTTACAAATCATCCGCCGGTAGTCTCCAAAGGAAACTAAGTGGTTCTCCTTCCTGGTGAACAGAGATGCTGGTGAGCCTAGCAGCTGCCAACAGTGAGGATTTCTGAGACTTAAAGGTATTTAATGGACATGAGAGAATAACTAGCAGAGGTTCAAGCTCCCCTACTAGTTTGCAGCCTATCATGAACCACTGCACAGGCTATAAGCTACATAACTAGGGAACCATTCATGTAGATTAAAATAATCAGCATCTGTAATAAAAATGCAAAGCAGCTCAGACACTCTGAATGATTCCAGCCCTGACACTCAGAGGAATAGACATACTTACAATGCAGGGGACACAGGTTCGATCCCTGGTCGGGGAACTAAGATCCCACATGCCACAGGGCAACTAAGCCTGTGCACCTCAACTACTGAGCTCTCACACCTCAACTGGAGAGCCCGCATGCCACAAACTACAGAGCCCAGGCACTCTGGAACCTGCGCGCCATAACTACAGAGGCACGTGGGCCACAACTAGAGAAGAGAAAACCCTCATGCCACAATTAGAGAGAAGCCCACACGCCGCAATAAAAGATCCCACATGGGGGCTTCCCTGGTGGCGCAGTGGTTGAGAGTCCGCCTCCCACATGCCGCGGAGCGGCTGGGCCCGTGAGCCATGGCCGCTGGGCCTGCGTGTCTGGAGCCTGTGCTCCGCAACGGGAGAGGCCACAACAGTGAGAGGCCCGTGTACCGCAAAAAAAAAAAAAGATCCCACATGCCTCAACAAAGATCCCGTGTGCCAGCAACTAAGACCTGACGCAGTCAAAAATAAATTAAATAAATAATAAATCTTTTAAAAAATCAATAAATATATCAATATAATATATATTAAAAGATCTAAATATAAACCAAAATAAAATAAATATGTCTTCCTATAAGAGTAATTAAACAGCACATTGATTTCCACACTGAAAAATACAATACTATCATCAACTAAAGTGCCCAATAGGAAAATTATGCTAGATGGGAAATACAGCATAAACATAATGTGTGGTGAGAACATTTAAGATTTATTCTCTTAGCAACTTTCAAGTGTAGAACACAGTACTGTCGCCATTAGTCACCATGCTGTACATTAGCTCCCAGAACTTATTCATCTTGTAACTGGAAGTTTGTCCCCTTTCACCAACATCTCCCCATTTCCCCCATCCCTCGGCCCCTGCCAACCACCATTCTGAGTTCAGCTTTTCTAGATTCCACATATGAGTGAAATCATACTGTATTTGTCTTTCTCTGTCTGACTTATTTCACTTAGCATGATGCCAAGGTCCACCCATGTTGTCACAAAAGGCAGGATTTCAGAAGATCAATATTTTAGATTACTTCAAGATTTCAAAGTCTAGAAATACCTGTGTAACATAGCAGGAAACAAATGAAGGTGTTATCCTGGAGATGTGGAAATGAGGAATGAGGAATTCCAGTTTCAATATGGACTATATATTAGATACTGTTATATTCATAATATTAAATTTTGGTGTGTGATAATGATATAGCTGTAATTTATGAGATCCTGAGGCTGCTGAAACACAGGTGAAGTGTACCACCTACTTTCAGAAGGGTCAGAAAACACACACAGAAAAAAAGAAAGATAAAGGAAATGAGCAAAATGTTAACAACAGGTCAATCTAGGAAAAGGGTAGGTGGGTATTCATGACACTAGTCTCTCCCCTTTCTGTAGGTGTGGAATCATCTAAATAAAAAAGAGGAATGCCTTTGCATATATCAAGACACGTTCACAGCAACATTACTGATAAGAGCCCAGGGTGTGAACGATCCAAATATACACAAACGATAAACTGGACAAACAAATGGAGATCAATAAATGGATGAGTAAACTGTGGTGTACTCATACAAGAGGGTACTACACAGCAATGAAAATGAACCAACTACTGCTAACACACCACACAGGTGCAACTCACAACGTTGAGCAAATAAAGCTGGACACAGGTAGGATGAACAAACATTTGTTGAATAAATGTTTCAGATAAGGCTCAGATAAGATCAGGGCTGCTATTTATCTTTGTTTAGTAAAAATTTTCTTCACAGACAGTAGAATAAGATCACAATGGGAATGTATAAATTATTTATGAGAACAAGATTCCTTTCCCGCACCCTCAAGCACATTTATAAAAACCACCTACATACTATTGACCTGCTCCACTAATAATGTGCTGCTGGTTTGTCAACCCCTTAAAAGACCTTGAATTAGAATGTGTATTTGATAGTTACAAAAACCAAACTAACAAGACCTTCCTCTTTGAAGAAGGCTTTTCAAACTGTACTATGATTAAACAATTTTAGTTTTAAAATTTAATCTAAATTCAGATTTATAACCAGATTATTAAAATTAAAAAAGACATAAAATACTCACATTAACTTTGAAAGCCTGTACAGTGTTATCCAGAAGAAGGATGTTGCAAACCACCTCTGTATGCAGTCTATCTCGGGCCAACTCTGATGCTCGTACATTGTAGGTTCTGCCAGCTGGCAATCGGAAACGTGAGGTCATTACTGTCCACACAAGGTCTAAGTTGAAAAAAAAAATTAACTAAATAAAGGGGCAGCTGAAGATACAAATTATTTATATAAAAAGGTACAAAGTTATTACATATTTTTCAATTAACCTTAGCTAAAAAGCAGTCACAAATTTTGAAACACCTGGATAGGAATTGTAAGTATAAAAGAAGACACCATATATAGTTCATCATGTAAACTAAAATTACAATTGCCTGGAAGAGGAGTTTTGTTTTGAACTGTCCATTAAGAAGACAATACACAAATTGCGGAGGTAGCCATATTCCAATTCAAAATATATAAATTTAGGAGCAGCCAAAAAGGAGGAAGGAAAATATGCTACCTCAGGAAGCCGGGCATTACTCATTGATGCAAGCATTAAAAAGACACTGGAGGATGGCAACAGGAGGGAAGGTTATTCACCTCTCAAGGGCCTTTCCTTTTATTCAAGCTTAAGATTTGGGGGAAACACGGGAGTTTATTAGTTGGGTTTTTTTTTTTTTAATATAACAATACCCTTTCATTTTAACTATCCTCAAATGAAAACTAATTCTAATAGAACTATTCTTAGGAAAACAAAAACAAAATAGAAAACTTAAGACTACAGATCTTTGTTTCTCAATTTTTTAACCTAAGAGGGAACAAAGACTGCCTATTAAAAAAAAAAAAACAGGTATCACATCATTTTCAGCAACAATTGACATTAAAAGACAATGAAGATGTAACTTTGAAGTTCTGAAAGAAAATTATTTGAAACAGAATTATGTTCCCCCCAAATCAGCATTCATGTGAAAGAATAAAGTTACAGACATTTTCAGACATTCAAAAATTCGAAGTTTAAAATCCATAAAACTTCCCTCTAAAAGACAACTGGGGGACTCTCTTGGTGGCGCAGTGGTTAAGACTCCGTGCTCTCAATGCAGGTGGCCTTGGTTCGATCCCTGGTCCAGGAACTAGATCCCACATGCATGCCGCAACTAAGAGTTCGCGTGCCACAACCAAGGAGCCCGCCTGCCACAACCAAGGAGCCAGCCCGCCGCAACAAAGATCCGCCGCGACCAAGATCCACCGCAACCAAATAAATAAATAAATATTTTTTAAAATATAAAAATAATAAAACACAACTGGATAAAGGAAACAAACTACACTACAAACACAACTATATAGAATTTTAAAATATAAGTAAGCAATAAGTACTAAGAAATTTAATAAGTAAAAATTAATAATAAAAAGAAATAGCAATTCAAATACATGGTATTCAGTAACTGCAGTTGACATCGTACTGTTAACATCAAAAGGATTCAAACTAAAAGTAAATGTCAATGTTACATACGTATAAAAATTGTATAGAGGGGGCTTCCCTGGTGGCGCAGTGGTTGGGAGTCCGCCTGTCGATGCAGGGGACACGGGTTCGTGCCCCGGTCCGGGAAGATCCCACATGCCACAGAGCGGCTGGGCCCGTGAGCCATGGCCGCTGAGCCTGCGTGTCCGGAGCCTGTGTTCCGCAATGGGAGAGGCCACAACAGTGAGAGGCCCGCGTACCTCCCCCAAAAAACAAAATTGTATAGAGGAAAATAGCTTTGGCATGTTGACAGAGACAGGCTAGCCAAGTGAAATTCACCAATTAAAAGACAGTGATTGGCAGTTTCCAGTTTCACATGTAAACAGCTCAGGAAGTCCCCACTCCATCATAACAAGTAAAAAAAAGCAGAACAGACTGGAAAATCAGCAACCATTCTTGGATCCATAAGAGAGGACACAGGGCAAACTGCTGTCCCAAAGACTGGAGAGACAGGTGAACACAAAGAGTCACAGCTTATGGGAGTAGAGACTTCAAACCTCTACTTGAAACTGCCACAGAAACCAGTACATGAGTAGGAAAGCCTGAATCCAACTGATGATTTGCTGGAAGCTCAATGTGGATAATTTAAAAACTTTTAAAAACTCCAGGGGGCCAGTCATAGCAGGCCTCACACAATATTGTGAGATTGACCTCCAGGAGCTCCGTCAGATTCCCACAGTAAATATCAGAGAAAATTACCCGAACTTCCCACAAGGGGTGGGATGGTGGAGGTGGGGGACACAAGACCATTATGAAATACAGTTGACCCTTGAACAACACAGGTTTGAACTGCAAGGGTCCACTTATACGTGGATTCTTTTCAATAAATACAGTACTGCATGATTCACAGTTGGTTGAATCCATGGATAAAGAGGACTGATTATGAGACTGAGCATTGGTGGATTTTGCTATCTGCAGTAGGTCTTGGAACCAATCCCCCATGGATCCCGTGGGACGACTCTACATGATTTTTCAACTCTGTGCAGGGTCAGCACCCTGAACCCCCAGGTTGTTCAAGGGTCAACTGTACACCAGAGCACTCTGTTCTTCTTAACAAGGGCTGTTCTTAGGAGAAAACTAGTTAACCAAAACCTAACTGACCTGGGGCAAGGAAAATACTCAATTCCAGCTGACTCTAGCCTTCTAGAGGGAGAAGGGAAATACCCAAGTCCAGCCAACACTAGCCATCCTGTCCCCCTATAAGGGGAGAGAAAAAACTGAGAAATACTTTTGTAGTTCATAGTCCAGAGGCCTACGCTCACTAAAATACTGAAACCTAACCACAAGACTACAGAGTGCTTCCTTTCCCCCCCATTACTAAAGGCCTATTTACTGAACTTCCTCTTACCAACATATATAATGTCTGCCTATCGAGAAAATTTTATAAGGTATACTAAAAGGGGAAAAAAACACAATGTGAAGAAACAAGGCAAGCATCAGAACCAGACAGGAAGGTGTGCTGGAATGACCACACAGGGAATTTAAAACAACTATGATTAATAATATGCTAAGGGCTTCCCTGGTGGCACAGTGGTTGAGAGTCCGCCTGCCAATGCAGGGGACACGGGTTCATGCCCCGGTCCGGGAAGATCCCACATGCCGCGGAGCGGCTGGGTCCGCGGGCCATGGCCGCTGAGCCTGCGCGTCCGGAGCCTGTGCTCCACAATGGGCGAGGCCACAGCAGTGAGAGGCCCGCGTACCGCAAAAAATAATAATAATAATAATAATAATAATAATATGCTAAAGGCTATAATAGGCAGAATGCAAGAATAGATAGGCAATGCAAGCAAAGAGAAGAAAATCCTAAGAAAGAACTAAAAAGGAACATTACAGGTAAAAAGCACTGCAACACATATGAAAAATGCCTTTTATAATAATGGACTTATTAGTAGACAGACTATGAGCTAGAGGATGTATCAATAAAATCCCCAAAAGCAAAAAGAACAAAGACTGAAAAAAACAAAACAGAATACCCAAGGACTGTGGGACAAATACAAATGATGTAACATACATGTAAGAAGAATGTAAATTGGTGCAGCCACCAATAGATATATTGGGCATAGATATATGCCCAGGAGTGGGACTGCTGGATCATATGGTAGTTCTATTTTTAGTTCTTTAAGGGACCTCCACACTGTTCTCCATAGTGGCTGCACCAATTTACATTCCCACCAACAGCAAGAGAGAAAGAAACACAAACAAAACCCCCACAAGAACCAAATCCAAGACCAAAAACCCTATACTTAGCCATATCCTTTAAAACTACAGAAAATCAAAGATAAAGAAGACAGAGGAAAAAACACCTTAGCTATAGAGGAGCAAATATAAGAAGTACATCTGACTTCTTAACCAAGCAAGAAAGAAGAGAGTGGGGTGAGATACTTAAAATGCTGAGGAAAAAACCCCTCAACCTACAATTCTGTACCCTGCAACATTATCTTTCAAAAGAGAAAAACGAATACTTTCTCCAACAAAAGTTTAAAAATAGAGGGAATCTGTTGCCAGTGGACCTTTGCAAGATATGTTAAAAGAAGTTCTTTAGAGATAAAAAGAAAATAATATAGATCAGAACTCAGACTTAACCAAGTGAAAGCCCTTAAAACGAAGACTGGTCCTGAAGTGAAAGGAATTCTGCTGCAGGCTTTAAAGACATTATCTGTCATGCAGCAAGAGGGCCCGTGACAGGGCCATGTGGCAAGGAAGCACAGGGCCTCTGTGGGCTGACAGTCAACAAGGGACTGAAGACCTCAACTTCCCAAGCTGCCACAGTCCAGTCGACACCTAGCTTGCAACTTTGTCAGCTCCAACCAAGCTGTGCTCATACATCTAACCCACAAAAACTGGGAGAAAATAAATGTGTGTTGTCTTAAGCTGTAAATTAACTTTAAAAGAATGGAGAAATCTGCACTGCTCAGCCCAATTACAGAAATGCACTATCTGTTCTAAATATTTAATACTCTCAAATATGGATTGTCACAAGATGTTGGTATCCTATTATTTACCATAAAACCTTTTTAATTTAGACCCTGCTGAGAGCTTTAAATAATTTTATTTGATTATTTGGTTTGATGTTAACCTCCAACCACTGAGGAAAAACTAAATTCATCAAATAGTAATCTTTAAGTTCTTTAAAATTTTATTTATCTACAGTTGATTCATAATAATGTATTAGTTTCAGGTGTACAGCTTCAGATTCTTTTCCACTATAGGTTACTTCAAGATACTGAATATAGTTCCCTGTGCTATACAGTAAATCCTTGTTGTTTATCTATCCTATATATATTAGTTTGTATCTGCTAATCTCAAACTCCTAATTTATTCCTCCCCCACCTTCCCCTTTGGTAACCATAAGTTAGTTTTCTATGAATGTGAGGCTGTTTCTATTTTGTAAATAAGTTGATTTGTATTATTTTTTTAGACTCCAAATATGAGTGATATATTATTTGTGTTTCTCTGACTTACTTCACTTCGTATGATAATCTCTAGGTCCATCCATGTTGCTACAAACGGCAATATTTCATTCTTTTTTATGGCTGAGTAATATTCCATTGTGTATATATATACCACTTCTTCATCCATTCATCTGTCGATGGACACTTAGGTTGTTTCCATGTCTTGGCTATTGTAAATAGTGCTGCTATGAACACTAGGGTGCATATATCTTTTCAAA